CAAATTTGAAAAAAACAAAAATATATACGTCTAATAACACTTGTAATAATATATTTAGACTTAAACTGTAGACTCACAAGACGGTAAATACATATGAAAGGTGGTAAGTGGTGATCGATTTTGATTGGACACTCCAATCATCAGATCCAATAAGCGAATGACAAGAATCAATAATTTTGATTCTTGTCATTCGCCTACTGGGTCTGATGATGATTGGAGTGTCCAATCGATATACATCTTTTAGTTTTTTTCAGGTAATTTAATAACACAAATGATGCTGATCAAGAAGTTATTTATAAAAAAAATTCTTTAATTTCATAACTGTCAATAAATACCTCATCTAATTAATAAATACATTCTACGTGGCTGACAAAACTTCAAGAACTCAAGTCATGATTAATTTCCTCCAGGTTTTTTATCTATTCATCGGTGTTGCCTACCACATAAAAGCGTGACATGTTAGCATGTTATACTAAAAGTGAAATACGAAATACATTTTTCTTTGTACATTTATATTACGATTCCGTCCAGTGTTTCAATGACTAAAACTACTCAACTTGTTTTTTTGTATCTACATTGCAAAACAGACAGCATGCTACAAAATTTGTAATAAAATATCATTTATAACATAGACATTATTATCAAATGCAGTTATGAATTTATTAAATGTTTTATGCAAGCTACAAAGAATCCTTCATTAATCAGTAATTCATTAGTATTCCAATGTGTCAAAAAATCTATATATTAATAGGCAAGCATGTTTCTTTAAAACATTTTATCTCAGCTCGTGTGTATTGCAGGGAAAATCTATGCATACTATTAGAAAGATACTTTTCTTTGGATGTGCAGAGTCCCTTTATAAATTAAAATAAGCTAAAAAATAATCACAAAAAATTAATTTTAAATTTGAAAAAAATTAACATGGGTCTTATGTGTTGCCATGCTAGTGACGAAATACAGTAACAACAAAATATAAACAGAAAATCAAAACAAATTAAGGAAATTCCAACCACATGTTTTATTCACAGCGTGGGGTGAAAATAAAGAAGTATACATTACATATTATTGGTCGACTTTTCGACCACTGGACAACCTCTAGTTCAGTTTGTCTAACTATGACTTATTAGAGGTAATTATACTTGGATTTGTGATACTAACAGTAAAACAATTTTTGGTATCGTGATTCTTTTTATTTATCTATCTTTCAAGTATAGGTACCAATTGAGGTATCGATAACTTGCACATCTTCGTGAAAATGTGAGTGTTTTTTTATATTTTTTGGTAAGGATTTTATTTGCTCCCAAATTCTTTGAGAACCGTTCAATCATTCAAACCATTAGCTAATATTATCCTACTAATATTATAAATGAGAATGTTTGGATGTATAGATGTATGGATGTATGGATGTATGTTTGTGACAAGTGAACGCGAAAAATACTGGTCGGATTGGGCTGAAATTTGGCATGATGATAGCTCACATTCCCGATTAACATATAGGCATATTCTTATTTCAAAAATCCTTTCGGGCTCCGCCCCAGTGGCTCTGGAGTTTCCCATGTTAACCTTATGAGAAATGGAATTATTGAATCTTAACAGCTGTTTCAACTAAACAAGTTGGTTCTGTTCTATGATGTTCAATAGCATTAAAGTTACAAGGATTACCAACAGGGTGCAGCACTATTATTTCTTTTACATTTATGACAACAGCTAATTTGCAACCAAAAGGTGAGTGAGCGTAGCGAACGAACTTCAACCTGGAGGCGAGTTAGCGTAGCGAACGAGCTCCAACCTAAAGGTGAGTGAGCGTAGCGAACGAGCTCCAAACTAAAGGTGAGTGAGCGTAGCGAACGAGGTCCAACCTAAAGGTGAGTGAGCGTAGCGAACAAACTTCAACCAGGACGTGATTGAGCCATGCGAACGAGATAATCTTGAAAATTAAGAAGTTAAACAGGGCAAAGCCCGCGGGTTACAGCTAGTCAATCATAAAAATGAGATGTCTGTCTTCTCTCTCACAATAAAAACAACAGCTGGTGAGTAGGCGAGTAAGCTATAATAAAAAAATTACACAAAAATTTAACAAAGTAAAATTAATCAAGTGTCTTAAATGCTATCAACTTTTTATTTTCAAACAGCTGATTAAAATAATTAATTTATATCTTTTGTAAAACTTATAGATGTTTTATCTTCTAGAAATACTATTGATTGATTATAGAATAGAAACCACACTATATTCATAATCACTAAATCAATAGTGATAATATCACTGTTTTAACCAGTGCTCAAAATAATTTGTTTATGAACATAATGAAAAGAATTAGGTTTTATTAATTATGTTTCCTAATGCCAATCCAAAAGAGAGGTAACAGAACTCCATTCCACCGCAAATCGAGCACTGGTTTAAACTATGGTACCTTCAAAGGACTAACGTTTTCTACTTTTGGTCAAATCCTGTTGCAAAGAACAGGTAAATTACTGGTAAATTAATAAAAAAGTTTGTGATATGGCACTCAAGCGTTGAGCAAAACTAGCTGAAAGTTGCCATTCAATAGAAAAATTCTCCATGAGTATTAGATGGTTTTTAGTTACATACTTTGGAAGACACTTTCATAAATCCGCATCCCCACTATGCTGACATAGGCCGTTGGCAAAGCTAACCATCAACACTACAACCAACTATGCGGCTTGGACGCTTGGCATAGTTCCCACAGTTGTGCAAACGACATCTTGCCATGCGGCTTAACCTAAAAGTGTAAATGACATCTACAGATTTTGAAAATTTACTTCGAAAGATTAGACCAAAAAAGCTGGTGTCAGCCGCTTGATCGACACAAGCTGGTTGCGCATCCCCATTTGCCGCATGGCAATGTCGAACTGTGCCATTTGGCATAGTGGTGATGAGGCTTTATCAGAGAGTAAAACTACTTAATTTTATTTACTTAACACTTTGTGTTAATAAATAATTGATCCAAAGTTGATAGAGTTTTAATTGTAGATCATCCAGAGAGTTTTATTTTGCAATAATTAATAAATAAAATAAGTTTCATAATTAAAACACATTATATGTATAACAAGAAGGGTAACAGTATAAGGGAAAGCTGTGTTTAAAGGTGCATTCACACTGGACAAACAATGTTTGTTAACATCTCGCTCTTCGCCAGCAAACATTCGATGTTTATTTGGTGTGGATGCTTAGATAAACGTTTTAAGAGTGAGGGTGGAGGCAGCGTGTCACCATTTATGTTCAGCCTAAATGTTTGCTTTATAAGCGAACTATAGTGCGGTTTGGAGGGACCAGCCCTTTGGTTGCACAGCATCTTGCAGCCTGTTTCCATACCTTTAGTGACAGTTTGTGTTTAGTGATTTTGTGTCATTATAATGAATAAAGACCTGTTTTGTAACTGGTATTATTACTTTAGGCTGTATGAACAACACAGCTTACTGTGGAACCCAATAGAAGATAACTAAAAAAAACAAGAATAGAAGACATTACAGCTTAAGAGAAATCACTAGAAATTTTAGGGCTGATGTGGATTTTGTTGAGTAAAAATCAACAGTTTGTTAAGCCAAGTAAAGGCGAAAGAAAAAATGCAAAGTCGAAGTCAGGTATGGACACAGAGAGGAGAACCTGGTGGGGGTTAAATTACTTCGCCTTTTTGAGATTTTTTTTTTATCCTTGCATTTGCCAGTCCACATAGACTATCCACCCGTGCGTGGAATGTTTACAGCAAAGCAAGGAGTGAGCCGGTACATTACAAAGGTGAACTGTACTGATAAATTTTAGTGGCAGTGTCCAGGATCCGAACCCACAACATCGCTGCCTTGAGCCCGAAGTTCGCGACATTACCGACTGAGCCACCGACTCACTAACACCATTTTAACTCATTTAAACTCATTTTACCAAGCCCCACATTCCAGCCTTCCACTCTAACCTGAACACCATATATTGCTAGTCAAACAACTTAAATAAATGTTCAGAAAACGTTTTTTTCTAGTTCGGCGAACAAATTATGTTCAACGAACATGTGAAGGACAATGTTGATTAAGTTAAATAAACAAATTGCACCTCAATGTCCAAATAAATTATGTTTTTGTAAACAAATGTTTTTAATATTTGGATAGCAAACAACAATAAGAATCATAATAGTACAAAAATTATAAAATTAAATTAATTTATGAAAATAATAACAAAATATTGTTTTAAAAACAAACTAATAGTAAGCTAAAGCTACAGAAAATCCCTGTATAGGCCAATATGTTTTACCAAGCATTGCCTCGATAAAAAAATAACAATAACTTAATTTGCTCTCTTCAACATATAGAACCTCTGCACTAGAGCAACAACATTTTCAAAATTCAAATTAAACTAAAACTTGCTTGTGTTAAAACAACAATAAAAAAGTGTTTTATTCTAAAAATTTTACTCAAATTATAACAAGAGGTACTTAAAAAAAAAAAAATATATCTTCACAATTTCAAAACGAAATACTACTCCCAACTGAAGTCGAATATCATGGAAAAGCCTAGAGGCAGGTGTGGGTTTTGAATGTATTTTTAAGGGATAATGTTCAGCGTGCATATCAGCAAAAATTAGAGTCTAAGGGCACATAAAAAGTATGCATAACATAATTTATAGTTTTAGACTAGAGAGAGCAGATAAAAAAGCAATGTTGTAGATTTCAAAGTAAATGTTTCTCACATATATTAGTATGTGTATATACAGTACGAGCTCTACTTTCAAGTAGGCTACAGCTGAACTTCATCTCCTTCAAAGGTCCTTTACCTTCAACATGAAAATTGTAAAATATAAAGTGTGAGCAAATTATACTTTAGAAGTACAAAATTTTCGAGCTTAAATCTAAAACTGATTTATAAAATATCTAATTCTGTACCTACCAGTTTCATAACAACTTTTTAGACTCAGTTAGTTCAGTTAGACTTTTAGATTTTAGTGATTATAAATTTTAACTACCTTGACAAACCGAAAAATGAAAATTTCAAAGTTGAAATATCTTTAGCTACAATTTAATCACTTACAAACCCGTGTGAAAGGTATAAAATTCGCGCTCATATACCAAAAATACATCACAGTTACAAAACATAATTAGAAAATTTGTATCTCAACTTGACAGAGAATTTGGTCAAGATTGCTTGGAATTTGAGTTAATTGTTGACTTAGCTGACACCGTTTCTCTCTCTTTTCAGTTTGTTTTCGAGTTGGACGAGCTGCAGCAGGAATCCGTCGTTGGGTCGTATGTCGCGATGTTGTCGCACCTGCCTGACTGCCTCCCCAGCTGATAGGCCCTCCTTGATCATCAGGTACGCCAACACGCACGTACTTGACCGAGACATTCCCATCAAGCAGTGCACAAGCACTTTACCTACACAGCCGAAAAAGAAACATCTTAATAACCTATTAATTCAGGGTACAGCCTTTAATCAAGTTCCTTTTCAATCTAGTTTCAAAACAAAAATACACTGTATGGATCCAAAAAGCCGTGTCACTAATCAGGAATTTTTGCAGTGATTTGGCTTGCTAACCTGGTAGAATGGGCTAATAGACAAAATAAGAGTCCACAAAACATGACACAGATATTTTGTCATAAAGTAGGTCTTCTTTAGAAAGTTTTATTCTAACCTATTCTCTGTATAAGTCCTTTAATAGTACAATACATAGGTGATAAGTTTTGTCATATATTATTTGGGTTATCTGTTTGTTATCTATCGGCCCCTAGACACTAAATTTCTAAGATTTTTCTACCTGAACTTAATTCATTCATTTTTCAATGATTACTTATATCATAACTACTTATACCTTTTAATCATAAAACAAATTATAATTTTTTTTTTTTTATTGATCCTACACTTTTAGACTGTAGGGAGTGGATTTCTCTACAAAGTGACGTCTGTACTAGTACTTACTTTTTACAAAAGGTATCACACTAAAACCCTCTCATAAACCTATAAAGCTATGGAAGAAATAAATTACTTTTTATTTAGTGGATCCAGGTTAAATGTTGTACTATAGACATATAAACCAAGAAAGCCTAAACTGTATTACACCCCAATAAGGCAGCTAAGACCTTCTAACCTTGAGTTTTGTACCAAAATGTTTTAGAAAGAATACAATCTGAGCCAGCAGCATATCTACTATCGAAACCTTTCAAAATACTAGTGCTTCAATAAATGTCAACAAGGCAGTTGATAATGTCCCAAGAAGGTAAGTCAACTCTATACATAGGCTAGTAATGTCAAGGCTTAGTTAAATCACCCCCCTTCCCCCCTCACCGCTCTGGCTCTGACCCAACACACATCTGTCTTCACACACAAACCGATGCGTTCTGATCACAACTAAGAATAGACATTCCAAACTCTTGGAGGCTCCAGTTTTGCAATCCAGAAACTATCAGAATCGATATTCTCAAAAATGAATTTACCATTAGCCCTAGTTATATCTGGAGCGAGAGTTATAAAATATATTTTAAGACTTTAAAAAGTTATACATTATACGGATAATGTAAAAACATGCAAGATAAGAATTAAAAAAAAAAACATGTTACAATTGTGAAAGACTTTAACGAGTTATTCTGGTCATCGGGCCAACAGTTTGAAAAAGTGTAAAAAGAAAAATTATTTTTGTATGATATTACCAACACATAGAATTTGTTAAAGATATCATAATAACTACTACTCAAGTGGACTCTAAAAATTTGTTTGTCTTGTATGTTCACAAATAGAAGCGTTACAGTGTTAATAAGATTGTTTCAATTTCAATCCATAGTTTTTAAGTATTTTATTCCCTCGTTTTATCAGAATTCTTACCAAAGTTATTTAGTTAAATTTAGGCATAGGCCTAGACTGATTAGTCTATATAGTAAAAAAAAAAGGGAAAACCTAAAGGTTACTTTTTGTACACGATTGATTCCCGCTAATCCAGAATGGAATCAATCAGGCACATTCGAAAATCCAGCATCAGTGTATGTTTACTATACATAAAACTTCTAGAGACAATCAGAACAATTTGCAGACAATTTGTAGAGGTCGGGCGAATTTGGCAGATTTTGTAGCACTGGAAAATTGCCTGATACCAATTTAAGTTCTTTTCATTCTCTATTTCAAATCATTAACTCCACCAGAATTGCAATAACATCTATTATTTTTTAAATTCCCAATAATTTGGCATTTAAGGCAATTCAGTACTACCGATATAATGCATTGCTCTTTAGCTTGGAACTGAAAAAAATCCTTTTAACGATCCACAAATATAAAAACACATTCTTACCGCCCTCTTTGATCGCTTGCTCGATAAAATCAGCGACTTCGAAGAAGTGTTGGCTGATATTGGACACTGGCAAGTCCATGATGCTGAAGCCCAGGTACTTGATAGTCGTATTCTTGTAGAACTCTTGGTCTGTATCTACCATTCCGAACAGCTTCCCCTCAGCCGTGTTGACCACATGAGTTATGCCTAACTTCATCAGATACTGTTTGTTCTTGGCAGACCCTCTGAAACATTGATAGTGAAATCACAAAGTAATACTGTTATGGAACAAACCTCGCCATAGCACTCTATATTCCTTATTTGATTTCAATATTTTATTTTGCAACAGCTGTTGGTTTTTTTTGCGGTTATGATATGATATAACTGTGTTCATTATTCTGTGTCAGTAATAAGTTCACATTATATTTTTATTGACAAATTGACTTGAGCAACCATCTTATACCGACCTTTATGTTCAACCTCTAAATAAATTATTGTTTTTTTTCAGGATTTTTATTTCTAGTTTTGACTACTAGCTCTTCTAATTCTGAATACAGTTTTTTTTATGTTTAGCTTTTGCTGGGTTTGTGTACTAATTTTGTTATGTTTAAGGTATTTTTCATGACGGGATCAGAGTCCTGATCCTGAAACGTTCTTTAAAAACTTGTTTTTTTTTCTAATTGTAATGGAAAATGGCCCCAATAATCTCTCAAATAACACAAAATGTATGAACTTCGTAGGTTTTTGGAAGGTTAAACATTTGGCTTAGGAATGCACTAGGTAAGAAGGAATTGATACACAACTATTACAGCAATACATTCCTAGCAAACTACTCAGTCAAATATTAATAAACTAGCAGAGTAGGCCTACCCGTCCTTCGTATGGGAGTGGCATATAAGTATAAAATGCTTAGTACAGTTATACTCAAGCTTAGCGTTTGCAATGGTGGAGGACAAAGTATGATAAAATTTGCTTCTTTTAATTTACGGTATACTATAGTATTACACATCTACCATAGCCATAATGTTCTACCACTTCACCCAAACAATAGAAAAAAATAAATTATTAAGATTCACAAAATATCACAAATTATTCGTGAAATTAAAAACATAAACATAACTGTAAACAGACAGTTAGTTCTCATTGTGTATCACAGTTTATTGTTGCTGCTTAGTTCAAATTAGCTGTTTTCATAAATGAAAAAAATACCCCCGCCGCAGCAAACCTGCCGTCTAAGCGAATTTCCATTTGGCCGAATTGTTTTTCAATTGATCTATTTAAATAACATTAGGTTTAACGAGTACCTAGGTTTGCTGCTACAAGGAAACTAATAAAGTAGTCTGTTTTTAGTAAAATATTGATAGCTTACTATAAAATAAATAAATTTGCCAAGTTTGGTCAAAATATATCCATAAACAAGCAAACTACAACATTTTACAATATTCTCCATAAGAATAACATGGGAATTTTAAATTTACCATTTTTTTAGTTTTCTCCGTAACCAATAACCGAACAAAAACACTTTGATATACTGAATTGTTTGTTTTTTTAAGCTTTTTAAGAAGGTTTAGAGAAAAATTGGGAAATTTTGTGTTTTGAGGGAAGGAAGTGAGAAAAACCAATTTTTACCCCATAAAACCCCCCATAAAACCCTGTTCCCATGGTCCGATCATGCTGGATCGCGAACTCATTCAAGTTTATCCCGCCTTACACCTTCAAACCAAATTTCATCAAAATCGGATAAAAATTACTCAAGTTATCGTGTTCACGGACACATATATATATATATAAATCTATATATATATATATCTATATATATATATATATATATATACATATATAAAAATTTGAACGAATGGTGTTTTTGGCCTCTGGGGACATTAAAATGAAAAAGTAAATCGGTCCCGGGCCTAAGTCTTACCATGAGACCTACGGTAATAGCTACTTCCCTATAGGGAAATTCGCTAAAATAATAGTGCTGCATCCTGTTGGTAAATCTTATAACTTTTAATGCCTTTGCATATCATAGAACCAACCTTTTTAGTTGAAACAGCTGACTAAATTCTTTAATTCCATTTAAATATGAGTACTCATAAGGTTAACATGGGAAATTCTAGAGCAACTGGGGCGGAGTCCGAAAGGATTTTTGAGATAAAAATATGCCTATATGTTAATCGGGAATTTGAGCTATCATCATGCCAAATTTGAGCCCAATCCATCCAGTAATTAATGCGTGATTGAACTTCAAACACACATACAAACTAACAAACAAACTTTCACATTTATAATATTAGTAAGATAAGATAACCAATCAATAAATTAGTTTTTGGAGGACAAAGCACTTTCATCAGGAATAGTTACAGTGGAAGAAGGAAAATGTACACAACTCTAAGAACAGAGTTCCAAGCAGTAAATAGGACACTAAATATAACTTGACATTTCCCACTCAAAGATCTTGTTAGAATGGCAGTTACAGCCATTTCATTACACCATTAATTACCACCACAGATAAGTGAGGTAGTGGTACAAAGGACGCTTATGGGACAATCATGAGCTGTTAGTTTCCACCACTCCATAACTCTCAATAATTGTAATTCCAACCAAATGTATAGCCAACACACATGGTTTTCTGAATAACAAAACCGAATTGCATGAATGCAGAGGATTAAAAATTAATTTTAATTAATGATAAAAAAATGAAAACAAATACTTGTCCTACACTGAAGCTAAACTTGCATGCAAGACCAGCACTGCCTACTAGTAAATATTACCCCCAAATGACAAAACTACAAACTTCTAACTTCTCAATGGTTCTTAGCCAACTTGAAACACACATTTTATAAGCAGTAAACTTGTTATGTGAACCACCAAACTCAGATTATGTTAGTAGTTTATCAATGTTATGTTTGCTACTTACGCATCGCCAATGTATATGTTTGGGTAGACCTCATCACAGTCTAGTCCAATCTGGTAACGTTCATGATAAACGTTCTTGTCATAACCAGGCAAGGGGTTGTATATTGTACGAGTGTTGTACAAAACTTGGGTCAACTCCTTTAGCCCGACCTCCTCTTCTTTCCTACTCATTCTTTGCATTTTATCTAAAATCGTCAATTATAACAAATGTTAGGGTATTATTTTGGTTGTAAAAACCAGCTATGTATTAGATATACAAGGTCTGTTCAAAAAGTATCCAACCTTAATTTCGATAAAAGGTTAAATTACCTGTGTCCGCCGGTCGATCCTAATGTGCTGTATTACAGGAGATGCATTTCGGAAAAATAAATTGCCATCATCAGTCCTAATATAAGGTCTTAATTTTTAACCTTAATTTTATCTAGTAATCCAACAACGGCGTTGAGCTGCACCCTCAGCAAGCCTTTGGAGAAAAAGACGCTATGGGTGTAACCCAGATAGAGATTGGTAAAACAGATTCAAAGATGGCTGCACTTCAGTGGATCGTGAACCTCGATCTGTACACCATTAATTAAACTGGAGACCATCAACAAGTCGAAACGATCAAGTTCAAGTTTTATGGAGGATGGACATAGTGCTGTTCGTGAACTAGCTAGGGAAGTTGGATTCAGTATGGGTTAAGTTCATTCAATTTTAATGGAAGATTTTGGCTGTGCCTAGAGTTGCTGCAAAATTTGTTTTAAAGTACTTGACTGATGAACAAAAGGAATTGCGGCTTGAAGTTGCTCAAGACATGCTGGAATGAATTCAGAATGACACAAACTCTCAAAATAGTTATAACTTGTGATGATACAGGTATGATCCTGAAACCAAGGCGCTGTCTTCTCAGTGGAAACACTCAATATCGCCGCGGCCAAAAAAAGCCAAATTCGAAGCACAATCAAATTCATGCTGACTGTTTTTTTTCCGACTGCAATGGACTATTGGAGAATTTTTCATGAGTACGCATCTGAGGGACAAAATATCACTAGGTAAAGAGTAGGTTACCTACTATGTACTTAGAAGTTCTACGCTGCATGCACGATGGAGTGTGCAGCATTCAGATTTGTGGGCCACAAACTCTGGATGGCTTGATGGCGTCTTCCTCAGAACAATGCTCCAACACATTCTTCCAATCTTATTAAAGTCTTCTTGATAAATGTCATCCCTGTACTACGCCAGGCCCCCTACTCACCGGATATGGCACTGCGTGACTTCTGGCATTTCCCTACCTTGAACATGCTGCTTAAAGGGACCCGATTTCAGAGCAGAAATGAGATAATGCAAAATGTGCAAGCTCGTCTTAAGCCCATTAAGAAGGAAGAGTTCCAGGCTTGTTTCCAAAAGTGGCAGGAACGCTGAAATAAGTGTGTGAAGTCCCAAGGGGACTATTAATTTTGAGGAGGATCACATGCCAAAACAAATTAATCAATAAACTACTGTATGCTTTTTTCAAACAAGTTTGGATACTTTTTGAACACACCTTGTGTATTTTGGAATAGCATAGGCTACCAATTATAATGAGCTTTAGCGACTTTGTGAGTGAAATTTCTCAATTGCACTGGAAAGGAATCAAATTCAGGTAATTTTGTACAGTGATGCTCAAAACAAACGCCTTGGATTTGTGAATTATTATGTTTAAGATAATGATTAACTTTTCACACAAACAGTGGACTATGATTATCTAGGATACGTGGGTTGATAGCTATTTGAGGTCAAATTGAGGAATGACAGACAAACAATGTCATTTAACTGTAGTGTGAAGTGTCTAGTTATGGATCAAATATTTATTGACTACTCTGCTGAACACATGAATGCATATGTCCATAGTCCAACTCCAAGAGATTGCATACCGCTATTAAAAACATGAACATTTCGTGCTATAGATGTACATCTGGTGTTACAAGTTAAATAAACAATACAACTTCAATACAAACTTAAGTTTAAGGTAAAAATTATGCGTTAATATTCAAACACAATCTAATGAGTTGGGTTTTAGATGATTATCTAATTACTAACAAAGATAACCAATATGACCAATATGACCAATATGACTTGTTATGGATACAGTACAAGTCTAAGAAGAATCATTACGGTCACATGCAAGGGTAAGTTTACTAACATAATTAGATCTGATTCAAACGAGAATTTAAAGGCACACAGTTTAAAGTAATCAAGTTATGATCAATTAGGCTACAAATCAATAAAAAAAAACAAAACAGTTAGTTCAAAACTACAGCAGAACTATACAACCAGTTAAAATAAACTGCATTATGATATTACAGTGCCGGGTGATCATTTTTATGATTAAGCTTGAGAACGTAGTAATTTCAAGGGCATAAAATAACTGTACAGCGGGACTGTCCAATAAGGATTAAAAGCTTCAATCTAACAAAATCTGAAACAAACAAAGGTGATTTGGATTACCTATTTTGTTTTGATCAGTAGGTTTATGGGCTTAAGCTTTTAACTATTACTGTATTTGGCTTTGAAAGGTCTAAAAATTCATACCACTTACAGTAGGCCTACATTTGAGGTTTGATGAATACAAATAATAAAATGTAATATTTATTCATCATACAACATTTAAAAACTGTAATTTTTCATGTAATATTATAACTTAAGCTATGATTAGAAATATGAGATAATTAATATTTCAATTCATAACTTAGCCTATACCTAATCTAAATACACCAATAATATTGTAAGCATTTTCTATTTGTATTCCTTCTCTCCAGCGTAATCCTAAGTTATTTTTTAAATACCGGTAAATTGAGTGATTTATTTTTTTCACCACCAGCTCTTCAACATGTTTGATATGACTAGTCTCAGTGATAGAAGGAAGTTGGCCGCCTTATCTTATCTCCATAAATTGGTAAGCGGAGTTCTGGACAATTGTGACTTGCTGGGACAACTCAATTTTCATGTTTTACGACACAACCCACGCATTACCCTTTTATTTACCCCTCGTTACTCTCGTACCAATCTTGGATTCAATTCCCCAGTCAATCTAATGTCTCGTACTTGAAATGCTTATCCGTTATGTGTATTCCTAGGCCTGGTTAAAATATTGATTAACTTAACCTATATAATCGATATTATCAATCAACAGTTTTAATGGATATTAGGGCTACGCTAATAATGATTGAAACTACCATAGCACAGTTCCCCGTTTACTTCGTCTGGGAAATGCAGCTCAACTTGAGTTCTTCGGGCCTTCCTTGCCACTCTTTAGGAGAGTAGTGTTTAAGTGGGCTGCTGACCAGATCCAGCTTTAGTCTTTGTGCTTTTGGTGGTGCCTCTAGAGGGCCACACTTCAAGTGCCACATGTGCAGTGAAGTGAGTGTGTTTTTGGTGGTGCCTCTAAAGGGCCACACAATCAGTGAGAGGAAGTGCCAACTGCCAAGCAATATTATTCTGTCAATTCAAGTTTTTCTTTTTGTCTGAGATTTATCACTGTATCGTTTTCATTCTTAATATTTAAATCCCTGTTACTTTTTTTAAAATCTTTATCAATTGTTGTTACTCCTTGTTGTTGTTTTCTATAGTTTTTAATGATATATTCCTTTCAATTATTTGTGTTATTTCTATTGTTGATTGATTATCTTCTCGAATATTAATATCTTGTAATATAATAATTTGTAATATAACGGGATTGTTATTTATTTATATTGTTATGTATTATATTGTTATTTATTTATATTGTTATTTATTTTTATTGTTATTTATTGTTGATTTTTCTATCGATTGTCTTATTGTTTTTGTGTTTATGCTGGAAACTGTTTTTCGCTCATTTTCAAATGGCTCTGTCGTTGTTGGTATGTATGTATAATGCACAATGTATAATGTAATCTTGTTAAACCCACTTGTAAAATGGTGTTTGCCGTTTAATAAAAATGATGATGATGAAACTATCATTCGGCGATTAGTGAACCTTCATGCGATTTTTTCACCATCACAGCAAGTTTGGTTGGTTAGGTTAGGTTATGATGGTTTAATTTTATAATAGATATATTTTAAAATATTGATTAATAATCGATTATTCAATTCGATAGTCTCAATCAATATTAGCGAAGCCCAGTTAAGAAACTGTACCCTTTGAATTTACTTAAACTTAGGCTACCTAAGTTACTCAATACATAACTCAAAGCACACTCACCCTAGCTTGTTGAAACGAAACTGTACTGCCTGCAAAAGTCGGTCTTTTTATATAGACAAAATGTCTATTCGTTCGCGAAATAATGTGGCTTGAATTTAAGAAAACAACGCACCCACAACTAAATAACTTTTAGAGCAACTAATGATTTCGATTGACATTACAGTACAGCATTACAGCAAAGGAAACCAAATCCTCATCCTCGTCGTAGTCAGTTCTGGTTCTCTGAAGATAACAGAATAACAGATGATGATAACTGAACTGAAACTGGAAATTGAAACTGAATAGTGAACTGAACTGACAACGCCGACTGACTCACTGACTGTCTTCGTGTCTTCGAGTCGAGTCGACTGGTCGACACAAGTGTGCTCGCTCGCTCAAGTCGACTTGACTTATCAGATTGAGTTTGACTTGACTGACTTTTTTTAACGGCTTTAGTGGCTTTAGCCTGTCGTGTCGTCTGTCTGTTGTTGCTAGTGCTAGTGTCGTCAGTGCGTCAGTGTCATATAGAAGAGGTTCACTACATAACTGTGACAAAATACACTATCTATGTTATCAAATACCTTCTTAAATTGTCTAATAAGGTAGACATACCCTTGACCACGTAGGTGTCAAATGCCTTATTTATACAACGTTATAGTTAAAGCCTTTTCTAACTCAAAAGGCAGATTTAAAGGTTATGTCACATAACATAACCTATACCTAAACTAAACCACTAAACCCTTAATTATTTTTTACTGCAATAAAGAAATGTCTCTTTTCAATGTTAATTTTATGAAGAATACAATGATATGCCTCAATAAATACATGTTTACAAATTTAGGGAGAACTTTTCGTAAAGAGAGCCATACATTGCATAATTGTATAGGCCTAGCAGAATCTTATGTAGGAAAACTGTGTAATAGATTTACCTTCACCCACAGAGACATTGCAAATGTCTATCTTGTAAGATCACAGTCAACAAAAATAAACTTTGATGAACAGAAACTTGAGCGGTTTTTGAAACATCTTAGTTGGGATCAGTTAGAATCAAAATACAGCATAAAACTCGACTTAGTACACGAAAAGCTAGTTTTAAACCTACTCAAAGAGAAAGATAAACTGGAACAGCACGTATTGGAATTAGAAACCATGAAGGAGAAGGAAGGTAAGTTTTTTGGTCACAATCTTTTGGAGTATGAACCTATCAATCAATGAATTAATTAGTTGTGATGGGGACACCACTTATATATGTTTTTTAACCTGAATATGAGGGAAGGATGAGTGTAGAATGTTGTTTCATCATTCAGGATCATTTATTTTAAGCCAATGATCGGGACAGCTTGGTCCAGTTTCGAACCATCGAAAAGCTAAGTTACTGACTTTTCTCTCAGGATCGAACCGGCGACCTTTTGATTGTTAGGTGGTGTCCCCATCTCAACTAATTAATTCATTGATTGATAGGTTCATACTCCAATCAGCTCAGCTACCCAACTCCAACTTAGCTACCCAGCACGTATTGTCAATTTTTGGCATCATTAAGTATGTTTATTCAGAAGACTCCTGGGTAATCTGGCAAAATAGTAATCCAGTTAACTTAACATTAACTAGTAATCAGAGTATTTCAGCTTGATAATTTAATATTAAATATCCGCGATGTCAACCGATATCCCAGGTGTTATAAATTTTAGCCATGATCACTGCTATTTGCAGTTGAGCTAGATAAACATGATGTCATCCTACTATCCGGCATTAGGCTATTTTGCAATTTAATTTTTAAGGGTTTATGTTCAGAGCCACAAAGTATTCAGTACTACCCGTTGCTATATCATGTTCGATGGATTGGACGTGGCATTGATTGAATGTGTGGCCTGATTGTTCTGCTGACAAAAGGTGTCCAGTATTCCATGCAATGTGAATGACCGCTGAACTGAGGAGCGTGGAGCAGTTGGATTAGGAGAACCGTAGGGGTGGAAAATAAAAACTTGCAGTTTTGAACATGCAATATTTTTCCCACCCCTAAGTTGTAAAACTGATATTGTAAAACCCTAGTAATGTTTATTAGCCTATTATGATTTTATGATAATATAATTTTATATGTATGTTATAATTTTTTAGCAACTAAAGACAATAACAGAGAAATGATGGAATTAATTGAAGGAGATCTTGTTCAGTACCACACAGAACTTACGGAAATCTACGAAAAGGTAAATTAAATGGCATGTTGTGTCTTTTTCAATAAATTAATGTTTAATGTTTTTATTATTTATCACTCACCAATTATGGACTGAGTGCACTTAAGTTATCCATTTAAAATTTCTACATTCAAGTGTTACAATTAGGGTTGGACTACAATAAGTAGTCTACAGGGCTCCAAAAACACTTGTGATGAAACATTCCTTAGTAAACATTTATACCAAAAATATTATGGATTTTACCCCAATAATCCACAGTTTGTGCCCCTTTTTCTGAATTTTACTTGCTGTCTTTTCTTGTTTAAATTAAATTAGTTTAATTTTTTTAAAGTCAGTTGGGCAACACCAGTGGCATTTAAAAATTCTCTAAGGGAAAAAGGTCCAACCTGTCAAATGTTTGTGGATATGCCAGGATCCAACCCATTCTCTCCTTCTCAAGTCCAAGACTATACACACTAAGACAAGAATGCAAATAATTTTACTCTTATTGTTTCTATTGTATTTTTTTATAGTAAATGATTTAAATTACTTTTTATTTTTAAAATTATTGTATTTATATGTTCATTCAAAATAGCTTTGTAATACCATTGACTATATATATAGTCAATGGTAATACTTTTTAATTGTTGGTAACATTGTTTCTATTTGGAAATAAAAAGTTTTGAATCTTGAACCTTTGCTTGCACTGCTAGTTTATTCAATAGGCATAGCAATTACCTTTTACACAACTGAGTAATTGTTATACAAGTGTTTGCAGTCAATAATTTGTTCTTTATAGATAATTGATATTATTCTGCCCAGAGGGGATTTTGATGACTGTAACGAGATATTGCTAGAGATCTCCGCAGGCGTAGGAGGCAGCGAGGCTCAGCTATTTGCAGGTGACCTATTTAACATGTACGTTAGTTTCCTGCAACGCAAGAGCTGGGAGTTTCATGTGGCTGAAAAGGACCAATCAGATTTAGGCAAGTGTTTAATTTTAATTTTAATGTTTTGATGTTCATTGTTATCAAAATCTTTAGTGATTTTCAGCTTCAACTGCGTTGTCAGTTGGTATCTTAGCCTAAGTAGGAGTGAAAGGACTGGTGGCAATCTGCTACTGACAAGACGTTTTTTTTTGGGGGGGGGGTTGGGGTATTCGTCTTCTACCCCTAGCTACTTATTTCTGTTGATCGCCCTGCCGAATACTTCGGCACCCCTCAAATCAGTCTGACAATCCTAGGCTTCTGACTTAGCCTAGGAGCTGTGAGACACCCAGTTTCCTCATCTCTGTAGGTTCCTATTGCGGTGTTCTCAGAGATGTCAAAAGTGTATGGGTCAACGCTGGAAAATCCAGCCATAAGTGTTCAGAGGTTTCTACCTCGTTTTCGCAGAACCTGCATTTGTCTGACTATGACCTCCCTATGATTCTAAGGTGTAAAACGGTTGTTACTAAATATTACTATTATTGAGATTACTTGCTTTGTTGACAGATAAAACATCACCATTACCTACCAAATACAGTAGTTAAGAGCATGATCTGATAAGAGAGACATTGCTGATTACTGGTGTTACTGATACTTTATCTCCAATTCACGTGCACGGCAGTGGCGGATCCAGGGAGGGGGGGGGGGGGCAAAGGGGGCAATTGCCCCCTAAGAATTTGGAAAACTTGAAATTTTTCTGTATTAAAACACTAATATTCAGTTTATTATTCTTCACGAACTTAAATAAAACAAGATTACACAGAATCAACTCTATAAACATTTCTGTTCTTTGACAAGGTTTTTTTTCAAAGAATTTTGTATTTTTAAGTATGAAAATTGTATACATATTTTACAGTGAATGATAAACATATTATTTAAGTCTTTAATTAAATAATATGTCTTCAATATCACAATATTTCTTTAAATTAATTATTTTCTTTGTAAACAAATTTCAATATTAAAATGAGGGCTGCTGTGTCAATTTGACTATCACAAAAATGGGCTTCACTTTGAAATTAGACATTTAAGGACTCTTGAATTGTATAGTTTTTTATTTTTATGCATGTTTGGCCGCTTGTTTATGGTACTGGTATATAAATTAGGTTTCATAACTATTCTTAAACAGCTTGAAAACTAACTTTAAGAGTTTAAAAACCCAAAACTTTTGTTTTTTGTGTAAGAGTGAGTTTTGTGTAGTTTTAGAGCCTAGATTTTCACTTTTTTACTCCAAATTGTTCAAAACTTTTCCGGGGGTGTACTTTTCAAGGGGGGTATGCCATACCCCCAAATCTGCCCTGGATCCGCCACTGGTGCATGGTCTATAGGAAGTTTGTTTGCTCTGTGTCGAGAAAACAACATGAGTTTTTTTAGTTCCAAACACAACTGGAAATTTCAATGCTCCTCAGCTAACATATTTTAAACTTCATGCGGGCACAAATGTTCCCAACCTTACTGTATTATTATTACATACTAATCTGCCTTATTCTAGAAATGATACCTTCTTGTATATGGACAACATTAGGGGTGCATTGTAACCCACCCCATTGTACTCATCTTGCATGCGTATCCAGCATTAAATTACACATTTTAGTACGTGTTTCTGTGTTTAAGTAATGATAGTAAATCATATTGTTTAGGTGGAGTGAGACACTGCAGTTTGCTTGTTTCTGGACCCGGAGCTTACAATACTCTTCAACTTGAGGCCGGAGTTCACAGAGTTCAGGTCTGTTCTAATTCTAACTACAGTAGACTCCCCTTATCCGGACACCTTTTAACCGGACGTCGGTTTAACCGGACTATACTCAGGGGAAATGACATCTCAACACTGTCCCAAAAAAATCCTAAATCAAATGTGATCCCGTCCCAACGATCAAAAATATAATTTACTCTGAAATTTCCCAAAAGTGTGTGTCACTGTCTCAAAGAACTGATAGTTAAGAATTAACATCGATAGTTAACTGTCATAGCATCACCTAACAGACCAGTATGGTTACTGAGAGGATCAAAATGTATCAAACAAATTCTTTGTTCACCGTATGTCACCATTTTTGTACACCATTCTTTGTTGAACCCTTCCCACCATCAAATTATTTCACGTTGTGTTTACTTAATTAGTTATGTAACATAATTTTCTTGTTGCAGAGAGTTCCTGAGACGGAGAAAGGAGGAAGGATGCACACAAGTACAGTTACTGTGGCTGTGCTGCCTCAACCTGCAGACGTGAGCTGGTTTTTTACTACTTCTAATAATATTAGTCAGCCGTGGTTTTTTATTTGGTCTATCTGAGCGTTTTTACAGAGAGTGTTTTTTTTGGGTTTAGTTAAAGTTGCAAGGTTAAAAATCTTAATTAAAATTAAAATTTTAAATAATAATTATCTGTACTTATTAATATTTAAACCAGTCTGCCCCATCGGGGAAGTAGAAGAGAACAATGTGGTTCTTGAACTATACTGTTAAAAGGAGACAAATTCTTATTTATGACCTCTACCTCTAAAAGTTCCACCCCAAAACCTTGATCTTTCACAGGATATTTCTTGACGGGATTTAAAGTCCACAGTACAGTACAAGGTTTGATCTTTGTGTTCGCTGGTTTCATAATTGGCCTTTAGTGTACAATTTAGCTCAGTAGATTTTACATTCACATAGACAGAAGTGATATCTTCTGTACAGTAAAATGTAAAATGTAGATTGATATAGGTACAATGAATGTTGCCTTAACTATCCTAAAATTACATCAAGGTTTAAGGATGCAACTTAAGGGCCTAGGTTTTAAGGATTTTACTGAGGATAAATGTCTTACCTGAATGGGAATAAGTTCACTGTGAAACAAGAATTAGTATAATCTTTAATCTGTACAAAAACAATTTTGCAGTGTCACAGACATAATTTACAGGTAAGTTGAGTGAAGAGTGAGTGAAAAGTGAGCGTATGAGAGTGAAATATAAGTTTTGTGTGGTGTAACGTTTTGTGTTTATGTGCCAGATCAAACTATTTCCCATTCAGGAAAGCCTGATATCTTTACAAAATCCTAAAACCAGTGCTCGATTTGCGGTGGAAAGGCGTTCCGGTACCTCTCTTTCGAAGGGATAAAAATATTGGCATAAATAGATACATATAAATAGCTAATAATCACATTAAATAGGTTATAGTTCCGGCAACTCATTTTTCACAAATCAAGCACTGCTTAAAACTTAATACTTTTTTAAAATTAATCTACCAAAGTAATTATAAGACTGCCAATTATACAGTAATGTCTCTCTCTTAAACTGTCCTAAACTAAGCTTTGGTCAATCGATGATTTTTATATTCTATTGTGGTAAAATGTAGTTTAGTTTGCTATGTGAAAGACATTGGAGAAGTTTCACACACACACACAGTACATTCTAAGTAATACAACGCCGCTGTTTGTGATACAGATCTCACAAACAGATCTAATATGTGGTCTTCAGTGTCTAGGAATAGTATATTACGTTACTAGTTCTGAAAATAAGTGTTTACCGGACGAGTGTGGTCGTTTCCGTGCGAGACGAAGTCGAGTACGAGATTACCATACGAGTCCGGTACACACATTTTGGACGAGTTAAGTACGATAGTTTACGCCATACTACTAAATCTGTACAGATCCTTATATATTTCCACCAACTAAAGGACTAAAAATCACTAGTCGTAATCACTAAGAGAGGTTATGTTTTTGTTTATAAACACTCATTGCCACGCAAATACAGTGTAATCAGATGATTGGTGTCCGGTAAAACTCATTGCAGTACAGTAGTAGTACACAATGAAACCCAATTTGATTAAGCTGGTGGCAAACAGCTGTTTTCTGGACTAAATCCTTGCATGGGAAGTTCGTCAAAACAGCATAGTGTGGTGTAAAGATATTTTTCCATTCACATTGTTTTGAAGGATCAATCATCGTATCAAGGTCTTGCTTGGATGTGTCTCCTACACTATTTAATGATCAATGTGTTATTGATCATTAAATACAATATTCAGGAATTCCATCATTACAGTAAATTTTCAATGTTGAAATAAATACTGTAAATTTCAGGTTGACATACAATTGAAAGATGGTGATTTGAAAATAGAAACAAAAAGAGCTAGTGGAGCAGGAGGGCAGCATGTCAACACTACGGACAGTGCAGTACGGGTTACTCACTTACCTACAGGTTAGCCATCATCATTATAGATTTAGCACCTCCAGCATCCTGGAAGTGCCAACAAACCTCTTCTATTATCTGTAAATGTTTTCCTTTCATAATTAATTAGTAGAACCCCTTATATCCGACCTCGGAATAACGGACTCTTCAGGATATCTGACCTAGTGTCTGACAGTTTACTTGTTTCCCGCAATAACACCGAGCGAGATCGGTTAACGGAGAGGCTGATCGCGGATGTTACCGTAATCGCGGCAGACAATCACCACTGCCGCTGAAAATGGATGTTGCCTCCGTTGCGGGAGACAATTACCGGATACTACAAGTTACGCTCCCAGGTGTTATTGCGATCGCGAGGACAGAAAGTTATGCTCACGGCTGTTACCGCTGTCGTGGGAGATGATTACCGAAGTCACAGAGACTGCAAATTACGCTAACAGGTGTTACCGCGGTCGGGGGAAACGATACCGCAGTCGCGGAGACTGCATTCAAGTTACGCTCATGGCTGTTAGTGCGATCACGGGAGATGATTGCCGAAGTCGTGGAGACTGCAGGTAATGCTCCTCCCGATATCCTCCAACCTTTTGGCCGTTCTGACAATGGCCCGGTCCCGTCATGGTCGGATATTAGGAGTTCTACTGTATTTTACTCAAAGGTCAATGATTGTACCAATTTTTCTTTTAAAGCAGCTTTTTGCAATTTTTCCATCACCGATGCTTATGAGATTAAACCAACCTAGTTTCAACTTTAAGATTTTTCTTAACATTCAAGAAGGAATGGTTTCATAACTATCTCTCTTTCATAGCACAACCTTTGACTATATAGTCAATAGCACAACTAAAGCTCATAACACAGTGAAGTTGATACCTATGCTCTTCCAAAGAACCTTATTCAAAAGAATGTGGTGAAACAGATTTGTATGTCTGGTGATAACTTTTTGTTTGTTATCAGCTGCTTAATACTGATTTCTTGGTTGTGGTTCCTTTCATTCTTTTTATTCCTGATGTTTTCCTAAAAAAACTGCCTTTTAGCAAATTACCAAAAAAACATAAAATTTAGCAATTTCTTTCCAAACCATTTTGTAGAGCTTAAAAAAAAAACTAAATAATTCAGTATATTGAAGTGTTATTATGCGCCTAATGGTTACGGAGAAGAAAAAAAAATTTAAATTGAAAATTCCCATGTTATTCTTATGGATAATAAGTAAACTGTTTTAGTTTGCTTGTTTATGAACATATTTTGATCAATTTTGGAAAATGCATTTATTTTTAACTAAACTATTAATATATAATATAAAAAAAATACCCCCGCCGCAGCAAACCTGCAGACTAAGCGAATTTCCATTTGACTGATTGGATTTACACTGAAATGTCTATTTAAAAATATAACATTTATTCCCGATTTAAATAGAATTAGTTTAACAAGTACTTAGGTTTGCTGCATCAGGGAGGGTAAAACTGTTTTTTTTGTAAAATGTTAACACGTTAAGTGCGGGCATCATCAATAGATGATGTCCGACACTAGCACTGGTGGCGGACATCAGCTAAAGCTGACGTCATGCCACTCTCTCCACATTAGTTTAGTGTGAGCTCAGCCATTGCCGGGGAACGTTATAATCGTTGCCAGCCTGTAGCTTAGATTATTTAAGCTTTAGTCTGGTGTAGGTTGGTACTAAAATTTCCCCTAAAATCCCGTCTAGCAATACTTTTGTCCCGGTTCCGGCAATTTTCTCTTTTCAAGCCACTTTACAAAGACACTGGCTACGAATTCAGGCAGTGCTGCTACCTTTGGGTGTTTCAGTGAACTACGTCCACTCTCGGGCTAACACAGCACAATCACCGCTGCTCTTTTTTTATTCGTCAGACTGAAATATTTGAATGCCAATTGCGTTCACAGATTCAGTTGCGCTGCGGGGCTTCGCCCGGGCCTCGCCGCCATTATCGAGCGCCTGTTTGAAGGTATGCCGCACTGAACGTGTTAATAGTTAGTAAGAAATAAAAACATTTTCCAAATTTGATCAAAATATGTTTATAAACAAGCAAACTACAACAGTTTACTTATTCTCCATAAGAATAACATGGAAATTTTAAATTTAAATTTTTTTGGAATTTTCTCTGTAACCATTAGGCGCTTAATAACGCTTCAATATACTAAATTATTTGTTTTTTAAGCTCTACAAAATGGTTTAGAAAGAAATTGCTAAATTTTATGTTTTTTGGGTCAAAAATGGGAAAAACCTATTTTTACCCCATAAAACCCCCCGTAAACCCCCGTTCCCATGGTCCGATCATGCTGGATCGCGAACTCATTCGAATAAACGTAGGTTTACACGTTTGTACCAAATTTCATCAAAATCGGATCATTTTTGCTCGAGTTATTGTGCTAACGGACACATATATATATATAAATATATAAATATATAAATATATAAATATATATATATATATATATATGAATTTGAACGGATGGTGTTCTTGGCCTCTAGGGATCTCAAAACGAAAAAAAAAAATCGGTCCCGCGTCCAGGTCTTACCATGAGTACTACGGTAATAGCTTATTCCCTATATGGGAAATTCGCTAAAAAACACTTACCCTCCCTGTTGCAGCAAACCTAAGTACTCGTTAGACTAATTCTATTTAAATTGGACATAAATGAGATATTTTTAAGGAGACATTATTGTGTAAATCCAATCAGGTAAAATTTTGCAGGTTTGCTGCGGCGGGGTATTTCTATATAAAGCTGTCCTTACAAAATTTAATTTTCAGATCAAATTAAATTACAGCAAAAGTAATGTATAAAATAATAATGAATTTTGTTGTAAGATAAAAAAACATAATGGACATGTTTACTGGTGATTTACCACTTTTATGTAAATTCTGTGTGACGGATAAACATTTTATTTAATTTTCTGTACTATCCTATTGACACAATTATTAAAAGGAGCCCTTCCTAGTCTCTTCTCAACTGAGTATAAATTTAATATTTCTAATTTCCAATCAATTCTCATTTTTGCAGGAATTTCGGTAGAGTGTCAATCAGATCGTTTACAATTTAAAAACAAAGAAACTGCCATAAAAAAGCTGAAAGCTAAGTTGTACGAGCGAGAAATCTACAAGGTGGATTCAATGCAACGAAATCAAAGAAAGTCTCAGGCAAGTTAAACAGAGATAAGTTTAGTTTTGGGGATAAATACACCTTTCACCACACTATGATGTTTTAGCAGTTTTACATACATTAATTGGTGGCTGAAAGTTACGTTTTGCTGGCCATACCAGCTGTCATCCTCATTTGGGGACCGAGCAGGTTTTTACATCCCTAGGGCCGCAAAATCAGCTGCCCGCTTACTTACTTAAAACATGAATGCATATTAAATACACAATCAAAATCCATGGAATTGTTTTATTGTCGCCATTGCCTAGCAACTATTTATTTTTATTTTTGCTGATTCCTCAAATTATTTCTTCACATAACCTTAAAGTTGTAGTTGTGTTGACTATCAGTATTATTATAGTGGTGAATAGTGGTAATAGGGTATAGTGTGGTGAAAAATAGCGTTGGTACCACGGACCGAAATGGTTTTGCAGCTCTAGATAGATTTAAGTTCTCGACTTCATCTCGAACTTAAAAACTATCTCGAGCCGGCAAAACCTCATTTTTGGCCCTAGGTATGAAATATACTATTAAAATGTAACAAAACCAACCTTTATGAAATGTTCACCATCTATCTTTGGATCATATAGGCTACTGAAAGTAACTCAATTGAACTACTAGAAACGGTTTGGAAAATCGATTCACTACCTTTTTGTCCCATTTTTTACACTCTTAAACTATAGGGCCATGTGCTGTCAAGTAAAATTTCTTACCCTATTACTGTTGACAAGTAAATTATGGAGAAAAATTTAAAAATTTCAGTCAGTTTTCCTTCATTGGTAATACCACAGAGTTTTGCTCTGAGGGCATTTTCTTTTCTTAGAAAAATATGTGATTATGCCAGCCGGCAGCTTTAGGAGTAACAGAACCGCACGTGCATTTTTCTAGGAACCAATTGAACATTATTTTGATCTCACACTTCCCCCGCAAAACCCTTAATTAATCAGGTGAAGCCCGAAGAGTCGCATATCACGGAGCTGTAAGTCACCGATGATGTTGTTTTTTTTGTTTGCCATGAACTTTATAAATATGTAAAAAGTAATATTTTTTATTGATTTAATGTACAATTGTATTGATTATACATTGTTTTAATATGTGAATGTAATAATATTTGGATAAAAAAACATTGTTTGTCAAATGTTTAAACACATGAAAAAACTCTGGTGTGTTACACCCATGGAGGGTTAAATTTTGTGATTTTTCTTTGTTAAGCAAAAGTCTATTAAATTAAAATAAAACTAATTTTGTCAGGTTTTAAATGTTTCATCAGTTAGTTTTTGTAGCTCTTTTCAATTTTTACTCATAGATATGTAATATGTAATGTTTACTCAATATCCATAACTCTAAATATCATTGGTTTAAGTTTGTTGAAATCTTTAGGTTGGCACCAGTGGTAGATCCGAGAAAATCAGAACCTACAACTTCAGAGACGATCGAATCTCGGATCACAGGTTGTCCATTAACTTGCACAATATGAAGGATTTCCTGCAAGGCGGAGAACAATTTGAACGACTATTAGAACAGCTGATTCGATGGCACCATGAGTCGCAGATCAAATTGTTTGTTGATAGTTTACCTAGTTAGTCTTGTGCTGTTTAGCAATAATATAAATAAATTGTTAATTACTATAAGGACTAAACAGGTTTTTTATTCAGTCCTAGTGGTTACCTTTTCTAACGAGAAGAATTAAGAAGATTTTGAATTTTAAGTAACAATATTGAGTTTTACAAACTATAAAAAAATTTCATGATGGGTTAGCCTCTGGATCAAGATAATGCAAATATAAATTAATAGTCTTAGACAACCTGAAGATGTACTCGTTTAGCAGTACGAAACGGCCGTAGTTATTCCATAACTTAAGAATCAATTGACACAACCGGTAAATTAAACCTTTTATATAAAACAATTATTGTAATATCGAGAACCAAAATGTAATGACCTCATTTTATTATTGATACTTTTACTTTCTCCCCTATACATAGTATATGGAGAAAGTAGGTCATTGTATTGTAATTGTCAAAATTTTGAGTTTGAGTGGATACTGCCGTTTTGGGACCCCCTGAACCAAGAAAAGTGGATTTCTGAGTGATGTCTGTTGGTGTGTATGTCTGTATGTATGGATGTGTACAGAGCTACAGATCACACCTGTAGTCTCTGATTTTGATGAAATTTGGTATGTAGATACTAATCTATGGCTTTTCAATTTTTTGGAAATTTTGATTTTAAATGGTATTTTCCCCATAAAACCCATAAAATAATGAAAAAATAGAATTTTCTCAAAATGACCTGATGATTTTGATAAAAATGTAGTATGATTTAGCCCTTAAAATTCTTGAACAAGATGGTAGAACTCCCATTCCTGTAAAAATTAGGGTTCAAAAGTTATTGTAACTTATGTTATTTTTCCATAAAAAAGCATAAAATAAGAGAAAATCTGATAAAAAAAAAGTTTTGATTGAAGTTATAAATTACAGTAGACTCCCTCTTATCCGGACACCTTTTAACCGGACATCGGTTTAACCGGACTACACTAGGCGGAAATGCCATCTCTTTAACAGGACAATTTTTATCAGCACATTGGTTTAACCGGACTAGATCGGCAGGAAGTGGGCGATACTGAAATGGCTGTTCTTGTTGTAAAGATTTGAGACCAGTGATCACGTGTCTAAATACAATGATCTCCTAAATTTAAGTTGAATATCACAGTAAACAATCCGTTTTAACGAGTTTTTGGGACGTCAGTTTAACCGGAAAAACCGTTATCCGGACTTGGTCCCGAGGAGTCCGGATAAGAGGTAGTCTACTGTAGTATGTAATGGTCCTTTTAATTCTTAACAACATAGTGCAGCCCCCCCCCCATTGCTGTTTACAATAAAAATTATTGTAGCCTAACTTATGTTATTTCCCTATAAAACCCCATGAAAAAACAAGAAAATTGACAAAAAAACTGGTTCTCTTTGAAATTCCTCTGTTATGGTCCTTATAATAATTCTAAGTAAAATAGTGCAACCCCCTTCCTGTAAAATTACGGTTCAAAAGTTAATGCAACTATTCTGATTTTACCTATTAAATATTATAGTTACTCTCATCGCTTACCAATAATAAAGTTGTTGACAAGCTAATGGGAGAAAGTATGTGTCAGATTGATGATACTGTTTATTTAGTATGTATACACTTTTTACAATTAAATTGAGATGAAAACCAAAGCCAAGCAGGGACAGATGTCCGGTTTTAATCAAACTTTGAAAGTAGAGAAGGTACATCAGTAAAATTAAATAACTTTCCTGCTTTTGGAAAAGGGAGTAATAAAAGCAGCATAAATGATTGAGGTGAAGTTTTCTCATTTGATCAAATTGATTAACTGGCAGGCTTAGAGCTCACTGAACAACTAATGAAATGGCTGGTCATCCTAGGATATGCAACTGGATAACGTTTGATTTAAATGATGTCAGTGACCAAAAGTAAAGTATTTAAATTACTTTATTTATTTGTTGGTGTTTGCAAAACTATTCTACTTTTATACCGGACTACAAGCTTTTTTTAATACCTTCTGCCATTCTGCTAAGAACTCTTAATGCATGAGTCAATTTCCTATGAACCTTTTGACATGCTTATAATTATTCTAACCTTCTTCAGTAGGTCAAATGAAATACATCTAGACTGCTTTACCTATCAACCCAATTTACTATGATAAAAGGTTAAAATCTGAAATAACGTGAGGGTCTAGTTCATTTTTTAAAAGAATACAGTTCAGCTTGATAACATAAGAAAATTATGTTCTGAGGCTAATGGTGCATAATAAAAGACAAAACACAACAACATAACACATATGTTATGTTTCCTTCTATTAAAGAACTTATCCAAAAGCAGATTAAAGATAAAATTAATAATTTTCTCTCATGTTTCTTATGAAATGAATAAGAACAAATTATGGTCAATGTGAGAAAGTAAAAGATTTATTAGTTGTGTACGACTTTCTTTTTATGTTTCCAAATTAATTGCAAGTGTTAAAACTAAAAAATGTATTTCAAGTTATTCCCGGCAGATAATTGATATGCAGTCTATGACACTACACATGATCCCTTTAATGACTTTAGTCATGTGATTATCATCAGAGTGATCTAATCATTAATTACAACAGTGGATATCCTCATTGCTAATTAGATGATTTAATCAGTAATTAATTTTGCTGTGTGAAAATATTTATATTGTCAATCTCTTATTCAGATGTGTATCATACTGATATTATAAGTGAGAAAGTTTGGATGTATGGATGCATGGATGGTTGGATGTTTGTGACAAGTAAACGCAAAAAATACTGGTCGGATTGGGCTGTAATTTGGTGTGATGATAGCTCACATTCCCGATAAACATATGGACACATTATCTCAAAAATCCTCTTGGGCTCCGCCCCAGTGGCTCTGGAGTTAACCATGTTAACCTTATGTGTATTCATATTTAAAAGGAATAAAAGAATTTCGTCAGCTGTTTCAACTACACAAGTTGGTTCTAAAAATATCATTAAAAAGTTATAAGGTTTACCAACATGGTGCAGCACTATTATGTTTTTGGAATTTATGACAATATCTAATTTAAACCAACTAGCAACAAAAAGCTGTGAAAAATGAGAATTTCACTTTTTTATTGTTTAAGGGAAGTGGTAGAACATTATGGCCATGGCAGATGTGTTATGCTATAGCCAGAGCATATTTGAAGGGATTTCCACTGGGCAACAGTGGCGCCAGACTTACCGGGGGTCTCATCAAAAAGGGGGGTCCATTATTGGAATTCGGATCTGTAGCAAACAAAAATTAACGTAAACCTACAATACAATCTCTATTTGAGCTTCTGAAAACGCATTTTGAATCTCATTTGCAATAAACTCTCAATAACACAAACCTCATAGGTAACTTTGCAACAATGCATATCAGCTGATCGGCAATGAAGTCAAATAAGGGAATACTATCATTAGCTTGTTCTGTCATTAAAACGTTTCTTCCTGTTGTTTGAATGTGGGTTGTATAAAAAACCCTGTATATAATATAAGAAATCATTTTGTTGATATTTTCAAACTGGTTTATGTTTAAATATAATAAATTGTTTCGAAGAAAAACGCGAACCAAAGATAAACAATTGATAAAACATTGTAACGTTTCCATCAACAAAACAAGGTTTACATGCCAATACAAGCCTTATTTGTACAGTAATAATTACATTTTAGTCTTTATCAAAAGCTTTTAACAAGGTTTTTGTTTTGTAAATGGATTCAAATGATTGGTTACAGTGATGGGTCAAACCTTCCTTTGTGTTCGATTGAATAAAAATGCAACAAAAGCCAGTTTGTGAAACAGAAACAAAGTGTTAAACTTTGCTCCCAAACGGCCAGTTTGTCTTTGATCTAGAAATTTTAAAATACCTATCAGTTTTTGATCCTATAGTTAGTAGTTTTTGCTTTTTTATTACTTTTTAGTTTTAACAAAATATGGTCTATATTTATCTTCAATAAAATAGGATAGTACCGTTAATACAATATGTGAGACTTAAGTCTGACTCGTATACCGGTATTTAAAGATGTGATCCCATTTGCTTTGATTATGTTTTGAAATTTTTTGAAATCTTGATTGTTCTAGCTTTTGTCTGTATTTCCTTTCTAAAATAATTTGAGCCAGTTGGTAAGCTTAGGGGAATAGAACCTGGGGACCGAGCCAAGGCTCGGTACTACGACTGTTCTATCTTGATAATTAGACAAATTCTAGAACTACAAGACTACAAGATCGTGCCACTCATCCTACACTCATCTCCATCCATACTTGGCTTACCTACCTTTGTATGGTTGCCATTTCATTTCAAATTAAAGTATTGAAGTATAGTTTATTTCCATTGTACCCCTATATCGTGAGTAATCTTCAGTGTAATCTTTGATCAGTAGTTACAACTGATGTTTTCACCTTTGTACTGTATTTTGTAATTTGCTTGTAGACTGTGGATGGCTTGTTATCAACACATGTTACAAATCTTTTGTTTACTTTTACCTAGTTAATTTGTTCAAACAATATGGTTACTAAGCAACCGATAATGCCAATGTAAACAAAATGTTGACTTTCAATTTTAATTGTTACGCAATTCGATTTTATTGGCAGTTTTAGCTGCAGTAAACACTTTTTTTTAGGCCAGATATAAATTATTTACAACATTTGAAGGAAATCGTCTTGGCCGTTTTCAAGATCTTTGTGCATAAGCATAAGCAAACTTTGCTCATTTAAGAGTATAGGATCTCATAACTCAGGTTTTGGATTACGGTATTTAATTAAAAACTATGTATACCAGGACCCAAAAGAGGTAAACATTTGCCTTCATGGTAATCATATCTATATCGTAGTGTAAATGTCAAAGCTTTTGAGAAAGTCGATAGGGCCAGTAATTATTGTATCAAGGAATCACAAATACTTTCATCGGATAGAAGACAAGCCGAACCCCTCAAACTTTCATGGATATTCGAGGAATCGAACCTGTCTTTCCTGCACAATTTAAGTCCAAACAAATGGTTAATTATATAGAAATTACATATTTTCCCTGAATTAAAAAAAATATTAGTCTACAAATAGTTTAGATTTTTTTTTTATGAAG